AATGTACTTTCCATTGATCAAGGTCCTTGCCTTTTATGCATTCAAATGAGAACTCATAGGACTCACATGCATAATTAACTCGATTGGATTGGCACAGAAACAAAATAATGTCTTCATGATAGGTTGTAAACCTCAACTTGTGTGCTAGTGATGATCGATAAGGTTTATTTGATTTGTTCTTGAAACTTTTCAAGACTATTAAGACTCCCACTGACTCCTTGACATATACGATTCTCTTATCAAAACATTTATTGACAAACAAATATTCAAGAGTTAGTGTAGCTTTTATCAAAACAAAACACTTCATAATTTTGGTCTTAGTTGGTCTTTGTCTTATCCAAGACATCACAACTTTCCACAATTGATGAATGTTATAAACCTTCTTAATACTATTCACTCAATGTCACAATCTTGACTTCCAAGACTTGTTTTGGAACGTAGTATGATTGACTTCTTGATTTGACCATTTCTTCAATCTTTGAATCCTCTTCTTGGACATACAATTGAACCAAGACTCACTTAGAGGATCAATTGAGATATGGTTCTCAATCATTAAGACATATCATAAAGCATAAAAGGTACTCTCCCTTCTTCTTAGAATGGAGAAACTTTTATCTCTCTGCCCCACAGATTCTTGTTATTCGTTCTACTATTGATCTAAACCCTTTAATCAATTCAGAATTACACTTAATCTTATAAGTATAATCATATTTACCAAACCTTTAGTAAATCATGACGAATATATTTGTTACTCTTATGGTGAACTTGATCAACACACAACTTTGTGTACTCGATCTCCTAGTCCTTCACTTGACACTTTGTCAACGAATTTGTCTAATTATCAAATATGAAATTTCGCATTCATCACGCATCCACGTTGCATGATTCCAAGTTTCTGTCCAATTGAAACTTGGGCGATGAGAAACTCTCCCTATTTGGTAAATTCTTGACATTTCCATAAATAACATAACTAAGAATCATATCCATTCATTGTAGAAATATGCAAACATCAATTTTCAAAACGATTTCATTTCAAGGAAGTAAACAAATAAGTAAGTTACGCAAAATTTGTTTTATTTATAAAAGCAACGGAAAAACATTTGTCCTTACAATGCAAAATCTATTGAAAACTATGTAAAAGGAAAATTTCTAACAACTCTATCATAACTATCTAAGCTCAAAATCCAATCTTCAAGTCCATGCGATCGAGATCCATCACTTGTGATTAGATTCATCTTGCTCTCTTATCAAGCTTCCTTTCTTTTCACCGATCCTTCAAAACATTCAAATGCAATCTTATCACATCATGTATTAAGAATCAATGAATAGGAACTTAATGGAGTTAGATAGTGGATTCTTACCTAAAGCGTAGTCATACTTTTGACTCTCCCATCTCTTAGATCTCTTAGGTAAATAGGGCAACTTCGTCTCCAATGCCCCTTCTCTTGTCAATAAAAGCAAATTGATTTTTTTTTGGAACAACACATGGAACTACTTCAGACATCGCCTTTTTCTTATGATCAAACGTTTCGATCATTGCATGTCTTTCATTGCCATTGTCTATATCCATAGAGGTCTTGAAGGCAGATTCACCAATCAACTTTGCTTTTCTATTGCGCCAAACCATTGTTGATTCAGCAGCAATAAGCATGTAGGTGAGATCTATAAGTGTCACGTCGTGGTTCATCATATAGTTAGGAAGTGACTGAAGAACCCAATCAACAGCCATCGCTTCACCGACAACGGATCCCATCATTCTTAATCTATCAATGTGTGACTTCATCCCTAAGACGTGTGCACACACCGACTTGCCCTCTTTATGTTTACTTGCCAAAAGGGCTTGAGTGATATTGAACCTTTCAATTTTACAATCTTGTGGGTTAGGGAGAATAATTGGAGGAGGAGGAGGAAGTGAAGCATGATTTCTTGTTCCTTGATCGAATCGTGAAGTATCATCTTCATGTGGAATGCTTGTTCCACGGGATTTGAGAAGACCATAGTTGTCGAACTTTGACATCGGGAGAAAATGAATTCAAGTTAGTTGATTGATTGAGTCCTTGGTAAATCACCCAAATGAAATTCCAAGGCTAGGACCCAACACAATATCCTACAACTCGGGAGAGGGATGTCGTAACCCAAATTGTAGAACATTTGAAGGTAAGTGAATGACGATTCACTAGTTTCCATCATGAAAAACGAAAAAGAAATTTAAGTTTTAAATCTATGAAAACTCCTAGATCCTTTGAGATTCATTGAACATTTCAATGGCATGTTTAAATCTCGATATGCCCCTCTAGTTTGTGACTGGGATGCCGAGGATCACAAAGCGGGTGTGAATAACCATGCAAACTACATGGTGCCCTCACATGTTACAATCACCTATTCGATGTGCCGGTAAACCACACACGCTCCACCGAACTATGACAAACATTGAGTCACCCTTTGCTACCTTTGCTTAGAACCATTTAGTGTGCCGGTAAACCACACACACTCCACTAACGTCTTCCCAAGGGCACAAAGTGTAATTTCATGGAATTGCATCAATTCACTTTTGCCTAAGTAACTAAGATTGGGAATTTGAAAAACATTTAGTTACTTTGTATTTCATTATACTTATAATGGAAGGTTTCGTCCTATCCTACCCGTTCGGCTAACGATCCTCCACTAGTCAAGAGTGCGGTGGGTAAGAGTGGATACCCATTCAATCGCCATTTTATAGGCAATTTCCTTAAAAACCCCTTATAGACCAGCTTCGTGAATGAGGCCTACTAACGGTAAGACTGCTTTTACTCATACATATATATAATGTTAGACTTTTAATGTTATATATAGTATAGGGCGTATTTTATACTTTTAAAATACTATATGGTTAACTTTAACAATTACACTTTTAATTCAATTAAATGGTTAACCTAAACTTTTATGGATTTATTAAACCTCTTTTAATTATACTCCTTAATTAATTAATAAAACCATAAGGGTGTGATTTGAACTTTTCAAAACATTACTAGGGTTTTAGAATTTAACATTCCTAATTAAACTTTTAATCAACTTTTAAATTCCAAAACTTGAGGGAAAATTTTGAAACCTTTTTCAAAACATTAGGGTTTTAACTATTTAAATTTCAAAAATTCAAAACTTTTGGGTTCAAATTTAAACTATAAAACCTAAAGGGGAAAATATGAAACTTTTCATAACAACAAGGATCAAATAACAAATAATCTAAACTAACATTTAGTTACATAATTATCCATATTTGATTTGTTTAATGATTTCTTGCAAAACAATTTATCAATTTACTCAAAATAATTAAGCAATTATCTTATAAGGAAACAATTATCTTGTTAATTGATAATTATCTTTAATTAGATCAAGAATATAGTCATATATATATCACAAAATCGGATTTATATTGATCTAACATGATAAGGTAACTATCCATATGCAAAAACAGCAAGAAATCCCGAGATAAGCATTATCTGACGAGTTGACTCGTCGAGTCAGGCATGAACTCGTCGAGTCTGCATGGACTCGGCGAGTTCAGCCATGGACTCGACGAGTCCAGCCTCCACAATCCAAAAAATTGAATTTTTTAGTTATACAATGCATCAATACAATTGAAACCAAGCTAGGCTCTGATACCACTGATGGGTTTTGTTGTCATAAGACATCCTATGTGCTCATATAAACCCTAATGCTTGGATCTAGGTTTCTCTATTGTACATGCTTGATTGTTATGTAGCAATAACAATCCCAATTCCTCCTTGTATTGATTTTGGAAGGCTTAGAGTCACAAGTGTCACTCCTCTAATGGTTCACAAACACCATAAGCAAGAGGATGAAGAGGAGAGAGGTTGGAGGCTGCCAAAAACGTGTGTAAACCCTTACAAGAAGCTTAGCCACGTTTTTGAGCCTTAAGGGGTCTTTATATAGTTGGGCTATTAGGGTTATCTAACAAGGAAACCCTAATTTGGATGCTTAAGCCCTAAGCAACCCATAGACTCCTTTTATCAAGCCCATGGATGATTTCCTTATGGGTTTCCCATTAGAATTCGTCCATCCCTTAATACAAGGCAATCCATGGCCCAAATTGCAATTATCCTATAATTACAATTCCAGTCCCTTAAGTTTAATTAATCTCTTTTAGTCACAAAACTAATTACCAATTAATTATTGACTAATATTAATTAAACAATATGATTTCTCCTTTAATATATTATTCCCATAATATATTAATAAATCATATTTAATCCTTACTCTCCATAATTCATCCTATCAAGTTGCTTTGGTGAAGGCAACCCAAAAGGACCATGCACCATCGGGTCAAGTACATACCAAAATAGTTATGGACTTAGACACTAATCCAACAGATTCAGTGTAATCTTTGAGCACTACCTTAAGCGGTTGCCAATCGAGTGGAAAAAGTACATCCAGCCACCAGAGCAGGGCCCACTAGTCGGGTTCACTGGTCATGGCATTTGGCCAGCAGGTACAATCATGCTCCCATTTACACTAGTCTGTCATGATAGGAAAAAATAGGTAACGAAGGTACTCAAATTCTGGGTTGTTGACTGTCCATCAGAACACAATATCCTACTAGGCCGACCTACACTTTTTCAGCTACAAGCGATTCCATCCACTCTCCATGACATTATCAAATTCAGCACAAGCGACCCGTCGGCAACGGTCGTAGCAACCAGGCCAGCTAATGAATGTAGTGCCCAACAAGAAAAAAAGCAAGAAACCATATTGTGTCAAAGTGAAAGTTTCCAGAAAGTGGAGAATCGACAGGGGAGATTAGCAACGACACAAATGCTGGTCAACAAGTCAAAGAAAAAGCACAAAGATGCATTCAGACGATTCATAAAATCTCTTTCATGGAAAGAGGCAAATGCTGATCCAAAGATGGTCCAGCCAGAACATGGAGCAAAAATCACAAAGCGAGGAATGCCTACCCACATGCAAGGGCATTAGTATGGCCCGCAATCGACGGCCAAGCCATGCCTAGACAAAGACTGATTCGAGACTCGAATCGAATCTTCGTCAGTGTTAAAGATGAACCAACCCCCTTTGGGATGAAGAAGCTAAGCGTTAGTAACAACACAGATAGTGACAGAGTGTCAATCACTCTAACACGAAAACTTTACTGTAGAAGAGAACCAAGTAGGGTCTCTGATGAACAAAACACAACCCTGAATTACCGTGCGAAATGCAATATTGATAGGCACACAAAAAAGTGCGAGTGGAATTCTCACCCAGTCGAGGGGAGACGCTTCGCACGGTTGCAGATCATGTTGGGCCAAGAAGAAGGGGAAGTGCAAGAGCCTGCAGAGCATGGAGAACGAAATTCAGCTCTTCCACACCAAGCCCCGATGGTGGAAATAGGAAGAACCCGAAGCTATCAAGAAAAACTTGGACGAAATAAGAAAATGATACACAAGTATGACGAGCCAGTTACATCAAAGTACTCGACCGAAAATAAAGAGAAGGATGAGAAAAAGGAACATGGTCAAACTCCGAACAGGATGACCATACTCCAAGTGCCAAAGTGAAGACTGGCCCCGCGCCTTGGCACTTAAACATTTAGAGTCTAATGTCTTGTGTTTTTCCTTTTTAAGAGTTAATATAATTTTTTCTTTGAAAGAGCTTTCCAGAATTCTTTTTAATCAATTGCAAAATCACAAAGTAAATAGGTTGTGTATATTTTGCAAGTAGCAACAGTGGCTGATCATCTACACTAATTGAGAAAAATCATTAGAAGGAAGCATCCATAGGTCTCAAAGAGTCATAATCTTTACCTAAACCTTGCCAATAATGTCACACCCCAAAACCGAGAACGGTGGAATACGTTCTGGGGTGGGGATGTCATGTTCAGTATCATAACAATGCATAATAGTAAACACAAGCAACCACATCCATTGCATTAATATAATAATTGTAATACAAGCGTGTTCTGTACATTTATGTAGACACAAAAAGTATAAACAAAATAAAAGATGAGTCTTATATGTGCTCCATCTTCCAAAAACTGCACCAGTACCTATTTATTGTTGACCAGAGAATACAAGTTATTTTGAAAAACGAGTATCAGCATAAAGCTGGTGAGTTCATAAGTATTTAGTGATGTTGCTTGTATAAAAGTGTTTACAATCTTGTAGTGAAATGACTGTTATCAAAATACAGTTTTAGCTCGTTCATTTTAGAGAAGTAATGGTGTTTCACCCCGGTAGTATGCCTACTGGTTAAATGTAATAGTGAATGTAAACTCTGGATAGTATTAATTTTGTATGCACCTCGGGATGTGTTTTTAATTAAAGTTTGAATGTGAGCTCGTATGAAATCATACTGAGTGATAGTAGTACAGTGGCCGACCCTCCAGGTCTCCAATAGTGTAGTAGTATTTGTCATCCCTGGGTCAAAAGGCTCGGACTGTAGCTATCAGTCGAGATGGGGGAAAATCCATCCCGTATAGATTGATACACGTATTGGTCGCTATCCCTCCAGGAGACGATGGTTATCCGACGATCGCATAGCGATAGGTTGTATAGAGAGATGGTGCATCACATTCTGTTATAGTATTTTCTTTCGTATGGTATATAATGTTCTCTTAGTATACTATGTACAATTCTCTTGATGTAGTTTATAGTATTTCTTCTTATAGCGGGTAGTGTTCCCTTAGTATAGTGTATAGTGTATAGTGTTCTCTTCACTTCCTGTATTGTACATATAGTCTTGTAATTGTACTGACAATAGTGTGTATCATAATAATATAAAAAATGAGTGGTAATCCTTAACTATACCTATTATAGTTAAATTGAGTACTTGATTTAGTGTCTTCGATATGTAGAAGTATCGAATTAGAATGAAAACTTTTATATCTAACACAAATATACAAGATATATAACTAAATATTAAACGGCAGTTGGACAGATAACCTAATACGCTAAGCCCACAATCAAACAAGAACAGGAAATAAGGTCAGTTATCAGTTCTAAGTCCTTCAATACTTATTTATATAAATATATTAGTGTAGATATGATTTGGAAATAATTTAAGGTTTTGAAAATATTGAAAAATGGTTTTAAGACAATTGATTTGTGAAAATGTGGTTGATAAACATTTACAATAACTTTGACAAAATACTTTGAAAATGTAAAAATCCATGTAATAGTAAGTCTTAAATCACATGCGATTGATTCTACCATGTATTGAATTGAACTTGTATTCCCCCCCCCCCCTAAAAACAATTAAAAACATTTGAAAGGTTAATTAAAGGGGTATGAACTCACTGTTTGACGTAGGGTTCAAGTGTGCTATCGATATGAGTGTCGAGTGTCAACAGATGCTCTGAACGCAAGTAGCCCCTATTAATCATATGGTGACACACACACACACACACACACACACATATATATATATATATATATATATATATATATATATATATATATATATGTTAGAGTTAGGGTGTTTCCTGACTAAAGATGATAGGAAATCACCCTATGGGCTTGGAATCACTAGGACTAAGTGTCCCGTGTTCTATAATCAATGATCTATTCAAGTTTAAGACCAAATATGAGTATTAGGGTGGGTGTATAACCATAAGAGTGAGTGTGCGGCTGGGGAATGCGGCTAGACTTGTGTGTGAGGCTGCACACTAGAGTGTGCGGCTGTACAGGGTGTGTGTGCGGCCGTACACAGGAGTGTGCAGCCATACACTCCTTGTTTGAGTCCTATTTGTCGATTGTGTGGCCATACTCTCAATTTGGAGGGTGTTTTGAATGTGTGAGACCACCAGATGAAGGTGTATGGCCGCACTCCTTCAAGGAGTGAAGAACACGAAGAACACTATGAGTTTTGGGCTTGGATTCAAGTGTTTTACCTCTATAGCAAGCTGAAAGATGATGTTCTTCACGTTTTGGAGGCCTTCTAAATGTTCTTTGGTGATGTTTTTAGAGAGAGGAAGTAGAGAGAGGAAGAGAGTGCAGGCAAAAGTGAATGGAAAGGGTCCTCTACTATATATATAGGGTCGGGTGTAAGGATGGAGGGGGTTTGCGGCTGGCTGGCCGCACACACTAGTATGCGGCCGCACATACGTCTCTTGGTGTGGTTGGCTCGATTTTTCGATGCAACACCCTTCCTAACCCTGCCTATAGCCCACATCTATGATATAGTAAGCCTAAAACACTCGTGCAGACCCAACATTTTGCTAAAAGATGCTAAATTCACATAAATTATAGATACATGGATCGATTTCACAATGTAAAAGTGTCGGGTTGTCACATTCTCCTCCCGTTAGGGAAATTTCGTCCTGAAATTTAGAGTTTAAGCAGTTAAGTTATTACAAATAACTAAGTAAAAAGATGGGGGTATTTACGTTTCATTCGATCTTCGCGCTCCCAACTAAACTCCGGTCCTCGTTTGGCATTCCAACAAACCTTCACTAGAGGGATGTGGCTTTGTTTCGTTCGTTTGACCTCTCGATCCATAATCTCCACCAGTTCTTCCAAGAAATTCAAGCTCTTGTTGATCTCAATCTCGTCGAGTAGGAGTACAAGAGTCTTGTCAGATAGACACTTTTTCAAGTTTGAGACGTGGAATGTAGGATGTATGTTACTTAGTTCATGAGGTAGATTGAGTTTGTAAGCCACGGGGCTAATTCTAGCGAGAATTTCGAAAGGCCCTATGTATCTTGGATTTAGCTTTCCATGCTTTCCAAAGAGTATTGTGCCTTTCCAGGGTGAGACTTTCAGAAGGACTTGGTCTCCCACCTGTAATTCCAAGGGTTTTCTTCGTTCGTCTGCGTAGCTTTTCTATTGGTCTCTAGCAACTTTTAATCTTTCACGAATTTGAACGATCTTCTCGGTCGTGTCTCGAATGATCTCCGGACCTGTGAGAGTGTTGTCAGGTATCTATCCTTTAGCTAACTGGGTGTCACTTACCTCAGCCCAGCATAGAGGGGATCTGCACTTTTGGCCGTAGAGGGCTTCAAATGGAGCTGCCTTGATGCTCATGTGGTAACTGTTGTTCTAGGAAAACTCGACCAGGGGTAACTGGGTATCCCACGCCTTACCAAAGTCGATCACACAGGCTCGCAACATGTCTTCCAGAGTTTGGATAGTCCTTTCACTTTTTCCGTCGGTCTGCGGATGGTAGGTTGTACTCATGTCCAACCTCGTTCCTAAGGCGCTTTGCAGTGATTTCCAGAAGCTTGAAGTGAACCTACTATCTCTATCGTAGATAATAGATATAGGAACACCATGCAGTCGAACAATCTCTTGGATGTAGATTCGAGTGAGCCTTTCCATCTTGAAAGTTTCTTTGATTGGCAGGAAATGGGCGGATTTCATCAATCGATCGACAATTAACCAAATGGTATCGTACCCACTCGGAGATTTGGGTAATTTGGTAATGAAATCCATAGAAATCATCTCCTATTTCCACTCAGGTATCTCGGGTTGTTGGAGCAGACCCGAGGGTTTCTGATATTCGATGTTCACCTTGGCACAAGTCAGACACTTGCCCACAAAGGTAGCGATCTCGGATTTCATGTTTGGCCATCAATATAACTTCTTGAGATCAAGGTACATATTTTCCGAACATGGGTGAACGGAGTACCTGGTCTTGTGAGCTTCGTTCATGACAACATCTCTGTAACCACCGAACTTTGGGGTCCAGATCCGGCCCATGAAACAATAAACTCCGTCTCCTTGGATCTCAAGATTCTTATCCATTCCCCTCAAAGTTTCGTTTATGACATTTTTCTTGTTTTAGGGCTTCCATCTTGGCTTCACGGATTTGCGCAGATAAGTGAGAATGGATAGTCATTATCAGTGATTTAACCTTTCGACCAGAATATTCTTTCCGACTCAGGGCGTCTGCTACTACATTGGCTTTACCCAGGTGATATCGAATTTCGCATTCGTAATCATTGAGTAGTTTGACCCACCGTTGTTGTCTCATATTGAGCCCTTTTTGATTAAGTACGTGTTGGAGACTTTTGTGATCGGTGTATATCGTGCTCTTCGTACCGTACAGATAGTGTCTCCAGATCTTTAGAGCGAACACAACCGCTGCTAATTCAAGATCGTGTGTGGTGTAGTTGACTTCGTGTGTCTTCAGATGTCTTGAAGCGTAGGCGATAACCTTACCTCGTTGCATCAGAACACAACCGAGCCCCTGATTGGACGCATCGCAGTAAACCACAAAATCATCTGTTCCCTCAAGAAGGGATAGTATCGGCGCAGTGCATAAGGGTTGTTTCTGGGTTTGGAATGCCTTCTCCTGTTTCTCTCCCCAGTCAAAGGTCACACCCTTCTGGGTTAATGTTGTAAGAGGTTTCACGGTCCGGGAGAAATTCTGAATGAACCTGCGATAGTAGCCAGCGAGACCTAGGAATTGACGAATTTCTGTAGGCGTCTTCGGTGCTGACCAGTTCTCAATAGCTTTAATCTTGGATGGGTCCACGTGGATTCCTTCTTCGCTAACCACGTGTCCTAAGAATTCGACTTTTCGGATCCAAAATTCGCACTTAGAGAATTTCGCGTATAGC